TTGAGCTCCACAGCAAAAATTGAGAAATATTCTCAATCCCGCTGCTTGCTGCTGTTACTGCAGGTATTCCTTTGTGTTATATGTTCTGACGAGAACGATTGAGGCAAAATGCATTTGTGTAGCAGCGTTTCGATTTATTGCAACAAACGATTCATCCATCACCAGCTGTTGAGAATGAGAATCTCTCATCTGTCACACCCATTGAAAATTGACTGTTTGCCATTCCTCTGTTTATCATCCAGCTGCTTTTAAATCACACTTTGAGTATCATTTAGCTTGACTACAGCGTGCAGTTCGATTAAGAGAACAATGTACGCAGGTCTCCTCTAGCTGAAAATTGCACGTCATATTGCTGATGATAGGGAAAATTTGACAGCGTTGCTAATGTTCACGAGCTGCTCAATCGGGAAAGAAACATGATTGCATGTTTCTGTTTTCGTAGCCAGTGAATGTAGGCAGAAGCTATCGAATTCTCTCCTAGAGCAAAAGTCGGAATTGTAGTAAACTGCGGCTAATTAAATTACAAAACTCCGAATATGCTGCTTGCTTGCGAACTCATAAGCTCAACTTTTATTAAAATCCGTTTGTTATCCAGTTTATTTCCAGCTACGATTTATGCGCAGTGAAAATCAAATGTGCCGCAGCGTTTTTAGTTGCTACGGTACCACATACGTGAAGAATTTTCTTCTGATGTCAATCAAGTAATCGGTTTACGACGGTTCGACCATTTTTAATAAAATTTTTTACTCAGTAAAACTTTTTTAGTGAGGAAGATGAATTTGGCCGCTCTGATTCGTGACTTCTACCATTTTGTGACAAGTGGACTGCGACCACTTGTTCCGCTGCTGATATTAGTTATTTATACGTTGTTTGGCGCATTCATATTCATGCTTGTGGAAGGTTCCAATGAACAGAATGAAATCGAAACGAGGCAGCGTGAGCGTAGCGAACTAATTGAGGTCACAACCTCATTTTCAGAATCGTCTCTGAATCTCAAAATCGCATTTGATATTTGGAATAACAGTGTTTTTCGGTAGACGTTAAAAATTTATGATTAGAAGGAAGCAGCGGCGCTATGCTAATAAATACGTAACGAATTTCTCCGTAGCTTCGCTCATCGCTGTGTCAGGCTACATTTAC